GTGAAGCCTCTCCTGGAAGCCCACTGAGGTTGCTCATCCAGCGTGTGGGCAGCAGGTTGACTCCTTGAATGTCACCACTTGGTACAAGCCTGCTGCTTGACTTCCCTTCTCAAGGGAAACTGGCTGTGGGAAGTGTTAGAAGATTAGTTACACATGGCATCTTTGAGCCAGGAGCCACTGGTGGCCATCTCTCTCTCAGCTGGTGGCATTTGCACCACCAAGAGTGGTAAGGAGCCTCCTGGAGAGGAGAGGAACAGGCCACGTTCTGCCCTGGGGAGCTCAGTGTGCTATTAATGAGGAGCCATTGCAAATGAGGAGCAGAGAAAGAGTCATTTTGGATCCATCATCAGTTTCCAGGGCGTGTAGTTTGTGTCTGCAGCTGCTCGAGACTGGCTCCTCTGCTCCCTTGTTTGTTCCCCCCCGTTTACTCACCTAGATGTTCCAGACACCTCGTCTGTGTGAGGCAAGTTTCTTCTGACACGGTGATGCTTGGGAACTTTCATTAGTTTTGTTCACTCCAGAGAGGCAGAAAAAAATAAAATCAAGAGACTTACGTAAAGTAAGTCTCTGCTTTTAGAAATAACACACTGGGGGAACTTCTCTGGGGCTGCTGGTAGCTCAGGCCAGAGGACTCCAGAATCACGTTTCCAAATGTCTTTCCAGCAACTTTAGGGTATTGAATACACAATCGTATAAATACACCATCCAGCAGCACCAGAAGAACATCCCTGAGGATACATGAATCCAAGCACTCATAAACTAGAGAAAAGCCTAAAATCTGGGTGCTTGTTCTTTCTCTAGAGATTCTGTGCATAATAACACCCCATCAAGCTATATAAATGCCGACTATTTTTCCCTCGGAGACAGCTGCCTTGCCGAGTGCCCGGAATGGATGATGCTCAATAAAGGAAATAGCTATTCAGTATTATCCTCATTCATCAGGGCTCGGCCAGTCCCTCATTAGTCATTCAAGCCCTGCTCTAGAACCAGAAACTTCTTCCCAAGCGTTTTCCTGCTGCCCTCACTGCTGTAGTGAGTCAGTCGGTTCTCCCCAAACCCACAACCCCGTGATTTCACAGAAGGGGAAGTGAGGAGCAGAGCCATTATCAGTGGGGTTTGGCAGCAGCATCTGGTGCCAGGGTGATGGGGAGGACACAGCTCCGCAGCCGGGGAGCTCCGGGACGGCAGCGGAGGAGCCGAGCACATCACAGGTCCACAGTGCAGACCCACAGGAGCAGGAGGAAAATTAAAAAGCTCCTGTTGTAGAGAATCGGAGTGGCTGGAGAGCTGCCTGGCAGAAAAGGACCTGGGGGGGTTGGTCGACTGTCGGCTGAACATGAGCCAGCAGTGTGCCCAGGTGGCCAAGAAGGCCACCAGCATCCTGGCCTGGACCAGGAACAGCGTGGGGAGTAGGGCCCGAGAGGTGATCATCCCCCTGTACTGGGCACTGGTGAGGCCCCCCCTCGAGTGCTGTGTCCAGTTTTGGGCCCCCTACCACAAAAAAGACATTGAGGTGCTGGAGCAGGTCCAGAGAAGGGCAACAAAGATGGTGAGGGGGCTGGAGCACAAGTCTTGGGCGCTGGGGGTGTTCAGCCTGGAGAAGAGGGGGCTGAGGGGAGACCTTATTGCTCTCTCCAACTCCCTGAAAGGAGGGGGTAGAGAGATGGGGGTCGGTCTCTTCTCCCAAGTCACAGGCGACAGGACAAGAGGAAATGGCCTCAAGATGCGCCAGGGGAGGTTCAGGCTGGAGATTCGGAAGCATTTTTTCACTGAAAGGGTTCTCAGGCATTGGAATGGGCTGCCCAGGGAGGGGGGTGAGGCCCCATCCCTCGGGGTGTTCAAAAGACAGGTTGATGTAGTGCTGGGAGGAATGGTTTAGTGATGGTGATGCTCCTTGTTTGTTGTGTGGGTGTCTATTTTTGTCAGTTGGGTTGACGGTTGGACAAGATGATCTTTGAGGTCCCTTCCAACCTAGAAGATTCTGCGATCAACAGAGAGGGGCCGAAACAGTCCCCTTTGGGAGGAAAGCTTCATCCTTATGGAGTGTTTTAACAAATAAAAGAGCTGACACCACTGATTCCACTCAAACCTACACTGGAGCAGCACCATGGCTATGGAGCAGGCTCAGAGAAACAAAATATTTGCAGTAAAATTTTCCAATCTCTTGAAATATATGTAAACTCAGTCTATTTTGGAAGAGAAAAATGGAACCTGGCTATTTGTTACACTACAGCTAGAAAACTGATAGACACTTGAGCATCTACGGACTTATATCCTCCAGAGGAAAACCATGCTTAGAAGTCAGTATTGTCAGCACAAAGAATGCACGTGTTTGGATCTTCATTTTTCCAGTGGCCAACATACCTTTTTTTCTTTCCCAGAAGTGTCTCCTTTTATTCCAAATTAAATATAAAGCAATCCCTGCAGAGAAGAAAATTTCCCTGTAGCCATCCCTCATACAGACAGCCCCGCGAGCGTTGGGGCTGGGACTTTTCCTATTTATATGCTGTGCTGCCTGAGGACTTTGCTTCTGTCAAATAACAAAGAAATTAATTGCCTTTCCTCCGGAAAGGTCAGCATGTTTTATTCCCATCCCCTACATTTACTTATCCCTCTGGTCGACCCAGGCTTCCCAACTTTCTGCATCCGATCAGCCCCGCTTGAAAACATCTCCTCCCTCCTCCTCTTCTTTTCGCATCCAAACTTCCCTTCCACTTCCTCTCCCCGTTCTCCAAACCCAAACAAACCCACATTCTTCGCCCCTAATAACGGCTGATTCATGGCTTTGCGTCAGCAGCCTCTCTCCTGGCCAGACCCGGATTTCATGGACATGTCTCAGCTGCTGCCAAGCCAAGTGACAACATCTGGGGAGCAGGGCCACCAGCGGGACCGGCGGGTCAGGAACGTGGAGGGGCTGAGGGCGGGTGTGACGCAGCAGAGAACGTGCGTGGTCGGTGCCTTCAGAGATGGAGAGAATTATAGAATGGCCCAGGCTGGAAGGGACCTCCAAAGGTCATCTAGTCTGACTCCCCCCCAACTAGACCATGTTCCCCAGGACCCTGTCGAGCCTCACCTTGAATATCTCCAGGGATGGAGCCTCAACCACCTCCCTGGGCAACCTGTCCCAGTGCTCCACCACCCTCACAGTAAAGAACTTGTTCCTAAGATCCAATCTAAATCTGCTCTTCTCCAGCTTCAAGCCATTGCCCCTCGTCCTGTCACTGCAGGATTTGTAAACAGACTCTCCCCAGCCTTCTGGTACCCCCCTTCAGGGACTGGAAGGGGCTCCAAGGTCTCCACAGAGCCTCCTCTTCTCCAGGCTGAACAACCCCAGCTCAGCCTGTCCTCACAGCAGAGGGGCTCCAACCCCCTGAGCATTTTCGTGGCCTTCGAGATCTTGAATTCAATCAGTTCTTCCCCAGAGGACAGCACTGGGGCACACACAAGCCAATTAAGTCAAGTGAGGGAAGAGATGTAGGTTAAAAAAAGATCTTGGCTCAGGTTTTGGGTTTAATCTAGAACATTGGAGGAGGGGAAAAGGCGGTTTTGAGAGTACTTTCAGAGCAGGGCGTTCATCCAGCATCGTTCACATCTCAACATCTCCACCGACCCGCTCTGTGCTCGCAGCGGTACCTGCCCCTCTTCATCGCAAAGAGCTTCAGTCCACAGGAGCCACCGCTGGCAATTCCAGAGCATCAGTGCCCACCTGTGAGCGGGGCTCAAACACAGCCTGCCCAGTCACACCACACGCAGGGAACTGCATCTTTGGACCCTGGAACAAAGCAATTAGAAGTCCCGTGGTCTTTGCACATTTATAAGGGCTGGAAAAATTTTTTCACTGAAAAGGTTGTCAGACATTGGAATGGGCTGCCCAGGGAGGTGGTTGAGGCACCATCCCTGGAGGTGTTCAAAAGACGGGTTGATGTAATGCTGGGAGGTCTGGTTTAGTGATGATGATGCTTCTTGTTTGTTGTGTGGGTGTCTATTTTTGTCAGTTAGGTTGACGGTTGGACAAGATGATCTTTAAGATCCCTTCCAACCTAGAAGATTCTGTATGTGAGGTTCAAAAAGCAAATCACAGAATCATAGAATCATGGAATGGTTTGGGTTGGAAGGGACCTTAAAGATCATCTAATTCCAACGCCCTGCCCTGGGCAGGGACACCTCCCACCAGCCCAGGTTGCTCCAAGCCCCCTCCAACCTGCCCTTGAACCCCTCCAGGGATGGGGCAGCCACAGCTTCTCTGGGCAACCTGGGCCAGGCTCTCACCACCCTCACACCAAACAAGTTCTTCCCCACAGCTCAGCTCCATCTCCCCTCCTTCAGTGTCAAACCCTTCCCCCTCCTCCCAGGGCTCCCCTCCCTCATCCAGAGTCCCTCCCCAGCTTTCCTGGAGCCCCTTGAGGGACTGGAAGGGGCTGCTACAATCCTGACCTTCTGGAGCAGCATATTTTCCTGTTGCACCCAGGGCACTCTGGAGGGTGACCCCCAGCCCCCAGCTCTGCCCCAGAGCCAGCCAAGGGACCTGAAGAGCAGATGGAGACCCTCCAGAGCTGCAGATGGAGACCCTCCAAAGCTGCAGATGGAGACCCTCCAGAGCTGCAGATGGAGACCCTCCAGAGCTGCAGATGGAGACCCTCCAGAGCTGCAGATGGAGACCCTCCAGAGCTGCAGATGGAGACCCTCCAGAGCTGCAGATGGAGACCCTCCAGAGCTGCAGATGGAGACCCTCCAGAGCTGCAGATGGAGACCCTCCAGAGCTGCAGATGGAGACCCTCCAGAGCTGCAGATGGAGACCCTCCAGAGCTGCAGATGGAGACCCTCCAGAGCTGCAGATGGAGACCCTCCAGAGCTGACTCAGCAGAGCCTGGTGCTGACTGCAAGGGCTCCGTTCGTAACTGGAAGCCACGGAAAACAGCAGATTCAGCTCAAGCCTCCATCGGGTTGCCCAGAACAGTTTTTAGTGCAGGCTGAGGTCTGTGAACATGAGAGAGACAAGCTTATGATTTGTACACAGAATATAGTGAAGTTTATTCATATTAAATACATCGACTTGCATCACTACTTGCCACATACTTGCTCTCCAGGACACTGAGTTCGTTCCCACTTCAGGAGACAGAGAGTTTTTGCTTTACATAAAATAGAGCTACTGATCTGTGTTCCCTGAATAACCCATCACTGACGCTTGCAAAACAATACAGAGGGGATTTAGTCAGTACAAACTATACAGAGATTTCCTTTTTACTGGTCTAGGGAGTTATGCACAGCATATTATCTAGACAAGGACAAAACGTTTCCAAATATACAGACATACGGAATTCAAGCGTCTCCAATATCCACTCTAGTCAAAACCAAGAGTTTTGGTATTCAGACACTTGAGTCCTGGATTCCAATTCTTCTCCCTGTGGCCACTCTGTTTAAAATAATAAGCAAAAATCCAACAATAGTCCTTTTAAAGGATAAGAGTGGGTTTTGCCAAAAGTAACAGTGGCGTGGGAAAGGGCTTGCTTCGGAAGACTGTGTTTGCTGAGTAAATAAGCTGGGTCAGGCTTATAAGAGGAGCAAATGCCCTACGTGTGAGTTATTTCACACAAGTGCAGTTTCCCCCCCCTCTCTCGTACCCGTCTGACTTGTGACACCCCCAGCAAGCACAGGACAAGCAGCCTGGAAGCGTTTCTGACGGGCAGAAAGCAAAAGGGAAATTTAACTGCGGCGTTTTCCTGCAAAGGTAAACCCAACGACAACCACAATCTTACCCCAAAGCTAAACCAGACTCCAGAAAACAGTTAGAAAAAACAAATATCTTTTACTGCCGAAACCGGCTCATCTATTTTTTGATAGTTTCTACAATTGCCTTGCCCAAGAAGAACTTCTTAAAAGCAAGCAGCATTATGTAACCAGAAGAGGGAAAATTACAATAAATCACATGTTCTTCCCACCTAATGTTGAAATCATTTGGGTCAATTCCACGTTCCATCCCCCCCTCACCCCCCTCCCTCCCAAGTGACAACCTGCAACACCCCAAAAATGGGAACTGGCATCTTGTGACTGATAATACTTCACCTACAGCCTTCAGCCCCCTCCAATAGCCAGGGGTAACTCAAAGCTCTTACCGCCGACCTAATTATAACGCAATTAAATATGCTGCTCAATCATCGAAGTCCGGGATGTCGTCGTAGGAGTAGCCCCGGTAGCCCTTGGACGCGTAGTAGGCGATGCGCAGGTGGTAGAAGCCCGGGAGAAAGACCAGGATCCCAATGATGAGCACGGGGATGGCACGGTCTGTCCCCTGCAGAGGAGAAACACACGAGTGCGGTGAGGAGAGATCTCCACCGGGGTCTCTTCCCTTTCTCGTAACTCCAGCCTCAACTATTCCTCCCCCAAGGCCTACCCTTTTGTCGCCTTTAAGGGCAACAAAGCTGGTGAGGGGTCTGGAGAATAAGTCTTATGAGGAGAGGCTGAGGGAGCTGGGGTTATTCAGCCTGGAGAAGAGGAGGCTGAGGGGAGACCTTATTGCTCTCTCCAACTCCCTGAAAGGAGGGGGTAGAGAGATGGGGGTCGGTCTCTTCTCTCAAGTCACAGGCGACAGGACGAGAGGAAATGGCCTCAAGTTGCGCCAGGGGAGGTTCAGGCTGGATATTAGGAAAAATTTTTTCCCTGAAAGTGTTCTCAGCCATTGGAATGGGCTGCCCAGGGAGGTGGTTGAGGCCCCATCCCTGGAGGTGTTCAAAAGACAGGTTGATGTAGTGCTGGGAGGTCTGGTTTAGTGATGATGCTCCTTGTTTGTTGTGTGGGTGTCTATTTTTGTCAGTCAAGTTGACGGTTGGACAAGATGATCTTTAAGGTCCCTTCCAAACTAGAAGATTCTGTGATTCTGTGATACCCAGCTGACAGAAAAGAAAGAAAAATTCATCTGAAATCAGAAATATCTCCGTTTTCTTCAGGCTGAGCTCTAAGTCCTCTCCCTGGCATCTTCTCCTCGCTCCAGGAAACCCTCAACCCAACTTCTCCTTTGGGCAGGAAGGGTGGCTCCTGCTCACATGGACACGTTAGAGAAGTGCCAGGCGCTGCTGGCTGGGCTGAGCCCGAGCTCTCATCGTGCCTGGAGGGCTCCTGATAGAGCCAAACCCCGCTGTCTCCACAGAGATAAGCAGCAGCTGCCAACCCTAAAGCAATTCCATCCGCAGGAGGTAAGAGGAGACACATGCCATGGAAGGGCAGCGAGTCAGCTACCAACAGATCCCCTTTCCATGGAGCATAGAGATGAGAAAAGTGGTGGCACGTCCCATAGCGTGGCGAGTAGGACTCAGGATGTGATTGTTCCCCTCTACTGGGCACTGGGGAGGTCCCACTTCGAGGGCTGGGTCCAGTTTTGGGCCCCTCACTCCAAGAAAGACCTTGAGGGGCTGGAGTGTGTCCAGAGAAGGGCACCGGAGCTGGTGAGGGGTCTGAAGCACAAGGAGAATTTCACTGAATTTCACTGAATTTTTAGAGTTGGAAGGGACCATAGAGATCATCTAGTCCAACTCCCCTGCTAAAGCAGGACCACCCAGAGCTTGTCAGAGTATGTTACTCAGGAGCATCCAGGCGGGTCTTGAAAATCTCCAAAGAAGGGGACTCCACACCCTCCCTGGGCAGCCTGTTCCAGGGCTCCGTCACCCTCACCGTGAAAAAGTTCTTCCTCATATTCAAGTGGAACCCTTTATGTTCCAACTTGTGCCCATTGGAGAAAGGTCTGGAGAACTTCTGAGGGAGCTGGGGGTGTTCAGCCTGGAGAAAAGGAGGCTGAGGGGAGACCTTCTGGCTCTCTCCAACTCCCTGAAAGGAGAGTGTAGCCAGGGGGGGTCGGTCTCTTCCCCAAGGAACAGGCCATAGGACATGAGGAAACAGCGTAAAGTTGCCCCAGGGGAGGTTCAGATTGGAGATTAGGAACAATTTTGACACGGAAAGGGTTATTAAGCCTTGGAACGGGCTGCCCAGGCCAGTGGTTGAGGCACCATCCCTGGAGGGATTTAAAAGCCGGGTTGACATAGTGCTTAGAGACATGGGTTAGGGATGGTTTTTATCAGAGTTCGATTGATGGCTGGACTCTATCTTAAAGGTCACTTCCAACCCAGACAATTCTATGATTCTATGAGCAGGCTGGTATCCTGACAGAGAGCTGGGGGGGTTCAGCCTGGAGAAGAGAGGGCTCCAGGGAGACCTTGGAGCCCCTTCCAGTCCCTCAAGGGGTTCCAGGAGAGATCGGGGGGACTCTTGATGAGGGAGGGGAGCCCTAGGATGAGGGGGAAGGGTTTGACCCTGAAAGAGGGGAGATGGAGCTGAGATGTGGGGAAGAACTTGTTTGGTGTGAGGGGGGTGAGAGCCTGGCCCAGGTTGGCCCGAGAAGCTGTGGCTGCCCCATCCCTGGAGGGGTTCAAGGGCAGGTTGGAGGGGGCTTGGAGCAACCTGGTGTGGTGGGAGGTGTCCCTGCCCAGGGCAGGGGGTGGCACTGGGTGGGCTTTAAGATCCCTTCCAACCCAAACCATTCTGTGATTCCACGGTCTCTCACAGAAGGGACCAGAAGTTCGTCACTAGAGGACTGATGACCCCAGCGCTAGGTTCTTCCAGGACAGCAAGCTGACCCCTCTGAGGACGCAGCGGTGAAGTGAAACCGTACCCCGGGTTGGAGAGAGGAACCCAGCCCTCCCTGGAACATCTCCAGCCCCGCGCTGACCCGGCTCCAGACGGGCTGGCGAATGACACCCGCGGGCTCTGTCCCCAGAGGAACCGGGCTCTCGGCAGACACCGAGGCAGCAGAGGGGGATCCTTCCCCACTTACAGGCCTTTTGCTCCCAATTTCTCCACTCAACGTGAGGGTTCACGGCAGGCTTTGAGGAGCAGGCAATGCCAAACCCATAACCGACGCGTAACGGAACCACTCACGCCTTTGCTGATGTATCCGGCCAAGAGGAGGGCTCCGATGATAATGAGGAAGGTCCCGATCATGAAGAGCACAACAGCCAGCGCGATCGCCTTGTAGGGGATTTTTGGTGGGCTCTTCTTGAACTGGAGGGAAAAACCAAACAGTAATCGGCTTAACCCGGCACAGCTCCTCTCCCACCATGGCAGAGGTGTCCCACAGCCAGCAGAGGTGACACGGGGCAAGCTTGGGGCAGCTCTGCATCAAAAGAAGTGTTGCCAGCAGATCCAGGGAGGTGGTTCTGCCACTTTGCTCTGGTGAGGCCTCACCTAGAGCACCATGTCCAGGTCTGGAGCCCTCAATACAGGAAGGACATGGACCTGACGGAGGAGGTCACTAAAATACTGGGGGGGTTGGAGCCCCTCTGCTCTGAGGACAGGCTGAGGGAGCTGGGGTTGTTCAGCCTGGAGAAGAGGAGGCTACGGGGAGACCTACTAGCGGCCTTCCAGTACCTGAAGGGGGGCACTGGAAGGCTGGGGAGAGCCTGTTTACAAATCCTGCAGTGACAGGACGAGGGGCAATGGCTTGAAGCTGGAGAAGAGCAGACTTAGATTGGATCTTAGGAACAAGTTCTTCACTGTGAAGGTGGTGGAGCACTGGAACAGGTTGCCCAGGGAAGTGGTTGAGGCCCCATCCCTGGAGATATTCAAGGAGAGGCTCCACGAGGCCCTGGGCAACCTGGTCTAGTTGGGGGTGTCCCTGCTGACTGCGGGGGGTGGGACTAGATGGCCTTTGGAGGTCCCTTCTGGCCTGGACCATTCTATGGTTGTGTTATTCTGTGAGGAACCCTGCCCCTGCAGACCCCGCTCAGCCAGTGCTTACACCCACTCTGGTTTCCAGTTCAGCCGTTACTCTGCGAGGAACCCTGCCCCTGCAGACCCCACTTGGCCAGCGCTTACACCCACTCTGGTTTCCAGTTCAGCCCCATGGGCTCTCTGGAGGAGAAGGGCTGAGGTGGGGGCTCAGCCATCTCTGCACCCCTCCATCTGAGGCTGGAGATGAAGCAGCAGCCCCCAGCACACACAATCAGAGCTGTGGGAGCCCTTCCAAGGAGCTCACAGGCAGAGCAGCAGCGGGAAGAGGTTTTTCTCCCCCACTTTTTTTACCTGCAGGTCGATATATCCATCGTCGGTGCTGGAGAGCTTGGAATATTTGACTTTGCTACTGGGAATCCCAGAGGTCAGGTTCGTACGCGACGGCATCATGACAAGGAAGCCCGGGCATCAGCTAGAACCTGGGAAACGAAGAGAACAGCAAAATTAAAAAATTGGAGCAAACTGGACATCAGAGTCTGAGCCACAAGGGTCGAGTTTCTTCAGAGAAACAAAAATGTCGAGCCCGTTCTAACCCAAAGGCACCTTTGGGCTTTTTCATAAATTAAATCTTTTCAAACAAAGCTCTGTGTTTAAGCCTAAAGTACAAAAGCACAAATGCAGCTGCAGCGGGGGTCTGCCAAGAGTTGAAAGCAAAGTCCAACTAAGGTAAAACTTGTTTTTAAAATAAGATAGAAATTCCAGGATAATATACAATATATTGTCCAACTCCCATTTCGCAAGGAGCTCTGGCTTCCAGCAGGGCCACGACTGAGGCCCAGCTATTTCTACACCAGGACACGAGCAAACAAACTCAAACCAGACCCAAACAGAGCAGCTTTTCAACCAGATGGATATTTTGCAATAGATCCATTTTGGGGAAAGAAAAAAAAAAAGAAAAACAAAACAAACAAAAACCCCAAAAACAAACCAAAACCCAACCCCACTGGAAAGGAGAAGGAAAGGGACACGTTGATCCCGAGACAGCCCGAGTCGTGACTCAGAGGGACGGTGACACGGGGATGGGGTGGGCAGGGGATGAGGTAACCAAAACACCAGCAGGGAGCTGAGAAATCAGAGGTCATTGTGTGTCGAGGCACGAGGGAGGCAGTGCCGGAGCGGAGCTTTATTTAGCCACGTTGGGGCCGTACCCTGTGATTTCACCGCCCCACGAAGCCAAGCTCCCAGTTCTGCTGCCAACAGTGACCATCCCGGGGACAGGGATGGAGCCCATCAGCTTCTGAGCTCTCAGAGCCCGGCATCTTGGGAGCCAGAGCCTGGATCCAGCCTGGAAACACCTCCCTGAGCCATCTGAGAGGCGCAGAGAACTCCTCCCTGCAGGATCTACGTGTCTGGTGGCCGCTCACCCACAGCCCAGGGCTGCGACTCCCATCAACGAGGCAGAAAATGGGCCTCCCAAGCTTCTAACTTCAACAACTTTATTTTCTGAGAAAGTGTGGAATAAAGAAAACCAAAGAGCATCTCCCCACTGCTCCAGCAGGCAGGGACAAAGATGCTTTCTCCATAACGCTGTTTGGCATCTGGGACAACGGGATCTCCTCAAAATTCCCTCCACTTGAGCTGAAATGATTTGTCTCCTCCTCTCTAATTGCTGGCACCTTACCCTACCAGCAGGTTTCTTCCTCCTGCTCTAAATTTGAATTTTTATTAAAAAAATCCAGCACCCTCTGATCTTCACACCACACAACCCCCCAGTTTTACCTTTAACTTGAATTTTGGGCTTTTTGGTAGCAACCCCCAAGCACAGACACAACCCGTTTCTGGCCCCATCGATACTGGAAACCTCCCTCACCCCCCTCAGCTCCTCACACCCCGGGTTTGTCAGGTCCCAGCACCCAAAATACCCCCCAGGGACCCCCCCACGCCCAGGGGCAGATGTGCAGGGTGGGGGGAAGAAGCCAAAAGAAATCAGTGCATCACATTTCCTTAATCTGCCCCATTTCCCTCTCCAGTTCCTCGGGACTTCTTACTGCCCTGCCCATCCCATCCTTTCCCGGGATATTCCCAGGGGCTTCCCAGGAATTCTTTCCCATTTATACTGGCGGAAACTGCCCTGCCCTTCCCATCACCTGGCTTCCCAGTGAGAAAGAGGCTATTAATGGAACAAATAGTGGGAATAAAATAGATAAATAGTATTTGTGAATAAATAAATAGTATTTGTAAATAAATAAAAAATTGTAAATAAATAATATTTATAAATAAATGATATTTAGAACTAAATAAAAGGGAAAAAAATAAAATATACTCAGATTTCATGTTTAAGGGCCAGGTTAAACTCCACGGAGCTGCTCTCTCCGGGCGCTCTGCATCGGTTCAAGAGCAGAAAGCAGCTCTCGAAGGGGCCAATAAAGGCTGAATCGCGCCTGTAGCTCCATTTCCGAGCACAATTCGCTCCTTTGGGGGCTTTTCACCCCG